TGAGCAGACAATTTCGGATGACACCAGACTCCTTCTCACTATCTGGTAACAGCCGGTTAAGTTCAGTCTGTGTGTTAATCGTCCATCTTTTATGGTGTCTGAAGAGTTGTCCACGTCGTTCTCGATCTGTACTACTATTTGTTGAATTATTTTGCATATATAATGCCTGCTGGATCAAGCTGTACCCTTTATCCCCTTCATGGAGATCACAGTCAATCCTTTCTTCTGTAAGTAGTATATTATGCATTCAGTAGTACGATCCCCTTATTGAGTACTAAGAACTTGATCGTACTAGCTGGTTTAGACGTATTTTATGAACGTGCGTCAGAATTTTACCAATTTGACGTAAGTGAATGTTTTGCACGATAAAATTGTCGGAGTTGTAGTAATCGCCCCATGCCACTTATTTCGTTTTCTCACCTGTACTTCTGTGAATTGTGGACCTGTACACTAGTTATTGATCGCGGCATCTCATCAACATCACCCGGAACGAATAGCCTGGCTAAAGCCAAAGAAGAACCCCCAGAAGAAGAAAGTTTATTATCAGCATGTATTCTAATACTACAATAAGACAATTCTAACCATTGGAAATTTGTTCATATTCACACCACTCTCGTTTGAACGGTCGTCCTCCTGTTCTGACGTAATTATTCCGGTGAGTCCACGCCAAAGAGAAGCACTGGACTTGAGTTTCGCTCATCAGCAGTTCATATCCAATGGCCGTGCCGGGATATAAACTTCTGACATCTGACATGCGAGGTGAACGTCTTACTACCACTTGACCACATTTGAATTTTCACGTCTGAACAGGCGGACGTGTTCACGCTTGAGCGATGTGATTGGTGTGCCCGACTCATAATATATTGTACACTGGATACTGAATTACTCAGTTTAAGGGTTCAGTCTTGTTCTCTCTGATCTGCACTAAAACTACGGCATCGAGAAATACACTCATTTGCAAATCAATTTTGTTTTCACGGGATACTCAATTGAACTGATCATAAGGTTGACGGAAACTCGGGGACTGCGCCTACCTGATGAGCCCCAAGAAGAGCGAAACTGCTCGTGGGCTGTCGAAGAGTTTTCAGCAACCTTGTAAGTAGTTTCCCTTATGAAAACTACGGCACGTTGTAAGGAATATTTCTGTCCGTTCACGGTTGGTTAGCCCACACGTCAAACTAAGATCAGCGAGACGTACTCATTTGTACACCAGTTTTGGTTTTCATGGGAGAATCAAGTAAATCCCAGTTGAATCTTTCATTGGTCGTGTTCTTCATCTGAATGTGTTGCACGGTTGTCTCATGTTTCAGTTGATGTCATATTCAAGATATCACAGTATGCTTTTTTTAGAGGACACTACTGACAATGTTGCCGGAAACTCTTCGACAGCCCACGACCGGCTTCGACCTTCGAATTCGGGCTCATCAGGTAGACGTGATCCTCGAGTTTGGGTCGACCTTATATTCTCTACTTGTACACCAAATGGGACACATTTCACTTGAGAACCAAACTGTTGTGCAAGTCAGCGTATTTTATGAGCTTTGTACAATTTCGGTTCAAGTAGAACGTGAAGTTGACGGGATTGTGCCTACCTAATGAGCTCGAAGAAGGGTGGAAGCTGCCGTGTACTGTCGAAGAGTTTTCTACAGTCTTGTGAGCAGTTTCCTTCAGTAGCCTTCGATTAAAAAAGTAAATGCATGTGTTCAAACAGCGTTTCAGTACCGGGCCGCTAGTAGGTCGGATTCAGCGGGATTTATATGCCATTTTTTTCTCTAGAGTGTGTTCTCTACTTCGTTGGGGACAACAACGTCTCCTTTCCAGTTCGCCGAGGTTTACATCTTCTAAAAGTGATACTCATCATTAATGGAGTATCAAGGCGTCGCCTCCTCTTCGCATGCATCTCGGTGTGTTTGTGCGTGCAGTAACATACTAATCAGATGGTACGCTCGAGTCAACCTAGAGTGAGTCTCAAAGCAGTACTTTTTACCTTCTAGCTTGGGCTAAGAACAACGTCATCCAGTTTTTCAGAAGAGCAGTCTGAGTTCGAAGATTTTCATCCGGTCTAGACAATAAAAACAGCCACACAAAGTCCGACTCTCACTAATGGTGCGTTTTAAGTTCTCCCGTCTCCTTGAACGGGGTTAGCTACCCCGGAATAATGTGACAACTTTGTTTTACACCCTCATGCAAACGGTTGACATCCTGCGGACAATTGGCGTGCTGATGTCTGCCTTTCTTAACTAGACAGGAAGAACGACTTTGCACCTCTCAGACGTTGCATGCGTACGCGTTACAATTACAACCGCTTTCCCGGGTGTTAATATAACATGTAGGTGCGAAGTGTCATGAACATCACCAGGCTCGTCATTTTCTTTGGTCTATTCAATGACAAGCGCGTTTCATGTGAAATTGACTATCCCGGGGAAATGTGACGAGTGCAGGCCAATCGGCAAGTTGGACACATTGACAAGACAGATAATTAGACTACGTGTGAACATGGTGTAGTGAGTTTCTTCCGGTGTTTTGCTTGCTTGTATCTGTGTGTCCGTGTGTTTGTGCAGGTCCGGTTACATGGGTTCGCGCCGCATACCAACGTGCAGCCAAAACAGAGAATACAGGGACCGGCAATTTTAACGGCTTTGATCTGTTTCGAAAAGAGTGACCTTTCACATTTGGATGGTCACATAAAGCATGCATGGTTGTTACAAGACTACTCTCTCCTGTATGACGTTTAACAAGGTAAGCATCTTTTGAATTTTTGTCGTAGGACCGTCGCAGTTTAAACAGAGAGAGAGAGAGAGAGAGAGAGAGAGAAACCTGAATCGGTGACGGTGTTTTTTTTCGCGACTGGAAACTAGGATGCATTTTAACAGCTTTAGGCGCAAGAAGACTTCTTTAGTTCCTACAACGCCGTGAAATGACTTGCCCGATACCTGATGATCCAGTGAGCACAAAACACAACGCAAAACGGAATGCAACATCTATATTTGTAATGCACTACTCATAAGGTTGCTGAAAATTTGTCGACAATGCAACATCCACCATACTCACGTGATTTCGGTCCATCATCTGACGTGTGGCGCCACGTAAATTCAATCTAGCATAACAACTCGAATGTTTTTTTAGAATAAACCCTCAAATTTATTTGGACCAACTGTGTCTCGACAGTATCAGGCATGAAGAGCCATGTCAAAGTTACACAGCAAACTCGGTATTATTGAACAAAAGTTGTTTGGGATTAGCGTAAAACGGTTTCTTTAGGAGATCGGACCAACACGGCTAACAAGATGAAGTCAAGTCACTGACAACCAGCATTCACCGGGTAGTGAAACAAGACCGGCTGTTTTCGAGGAATACACTCATTTGTAAATCAATTTGGTTTTCACGAGAGACTCAAGTGAATCGCTTGTTTATGATATTCTGCAATTGAATGTGCTGCACACAGGCCGCCTCATGTTTCAGTTGGTACGATATTCGAGATATCGCAGTGTATTTTCATGAAGGAGACCACTCAGTGAGTCTCTCGTGGAAACCAAATTGATTTGCAGATAAGTGTATTTCTCGAAAACAGTCCAATTTGGGTTCAAGTGGAACGTAAGGTTGACGGAAACGCGAGGACTGTGCCTACCTGATGAATCCCAAAAAGGATGAAACTGGTCGTGGGAATGTTTTCACCAACCTTGTGAGTAGTTTCCTTTATAAAGACCGGCTGTTGTTTAGATGTTTTGGACCAGTCAGAGCTCGTCTTAATGCTGGACCAACCCTCGGCCCGATCTTTCGACCGACCAAATGTGGACTAAGGTTATCGGCAAGTGCACCGCCTGTGAACGGTAAAGTACACCTAACACGTTCCTTACTCATCCAGCATCAGTAGGAAACAAAGTTCATATGACCAAGTCCAAATTACGTTAGGGTTATCACCCTTTGCTGCGACCTTGTCAGTTTTCGAGTTAGTTCTAACTCTAAAGGACTTCGGTTCGAATAAGCTTTCTTAGCTTGTCATCGCCAGCTACTCAGGGTTGGCAGATCTCACCAAAACAAAATAGCGACTGAGCCTTCATATGAATTCCTGAAAACGGATGTTCACGCGCACCAAACAGAGACTCAAGTCTGTTTGTGTCAACCATTTCCTCTCCTAATTAACTGATACCGATGTATCGCAATGACTTACGGGCAATCGTGCGCAAACCCATTTAATTATTGCACTAACAGTGACATAACACCGACTGATCCTTTGTGTGTTTGACGTCCAGCGAACTCAGTTCAGTCTTCAGCTGGATTTAAGCAGCGTACTCCAATATAAGCATTACTTCGATGGAACGTCTGCGCACGCTGAACGTTATAGTTTGTATGGTGAAATGTACCTGATGTTGGTGGCGGATGATAGTTATCGAAGATATGACAATACGAAGAAAGATATATCACACAATGGTAAGCAAAGACGTCGTTGGAACTGGTGATACGGAATGGGGACATACCGTGTATGTTCCAACGAACTAGGTGGGAAAATTAACAAATCTATCGATTTTCCCTCGAGAGTAGTCCATCCCTGATTGGAACTAATATGCCATCCAACAAATCTTGGTTCATTTCACGTATTCTAAATGAATTCGATAGGTATCTGAGTGCGGACCAATCAGTTGGATGAATCCGAGTGAGGCATTGGTCGACCTTGAAAATCGGTGCGGTTGAACTGACATCGTCCACGGTAAGCTCCGAAACAATGAGGGATCACCATTTTATGAGCTCTATTCTGATCATAGCTACAGGCATGAAATGGGAGAAAAACTTTCGAAAAAAACACATCATAATGTACACACACTAACTGTACGTTTGGCGCGAGGTACAATTTTGGCAGTAAGATCGATGTCCTTTAAAAGTTGGATGTTTACAGAATGATTGAGTTCTTCAAAAGTGGCGAAAGAACCGAAAAATATTTAAGTACACGCTCGTTTTCGACCGAGGGAAAGAAACGCAAGGAGCATTCAAGGAAGTTCAAGTTAGCCAAATTCATCTTCAATCTCTTCGGCCGGGCTCCATAACAGTTTTTTGGATCGCACCTCTCCTGGTACCCTCGCGTCAGTTGACTTAGAATCTATAGCATCTGACAGAGATAAAGACACCTCCCTGTGTCGGTCGTGGCCATTGGGTCTAGAGTGTAAGTGTTCTGCTCTACTGAGATTAGCTGTCTTTGTATTGAGCTCAAAATGTCGACTCAATTGGTTCAGAGTGGTTGCACTGTCAGCTCCCATGGCATAAGACAGACCCAAGTTGGCAGGCCACACACCACGTTCTAGATCTTTCAAAACTTTCCAGTTATCCGCGGTACTGTTGTTGTTGCATTGTGATACTTTTTCAAATATTTTCTGCTGTTCTTGTTGCCTTGCAGCCAACACGTCACGCTCAAGCTCTTCTGCTTCACGTTTCAATTTGGCACGGCGATTTTGAAACCACGTGATTACCTGTGTTGTACGAGGGGTTTGGACACATCAATTAGTGAAGTGAAAACGAGGAATGTCAGGCAAAAATGAACTAATTTGTATGAAAAGTGGTTGTTGTGAGGTCCCAATGTCAGTGGCCATCGTGTGATTGCAAAACAACTGGACACGAACAAAGTACAGAAAATTGCGTGTACCAGAGGTCTAAAATGACTCGCCCATCAGGACTATACAGAATAGATCGCGACTGTATACAAAAAAACGAGTACCGAGTAAACAAATAGGGTGAAAAAACTATCAGAGTTATTTTAGTCGCTGAATACAGGAATATTCCTAAGGGAGAATGCTGCAAGGACATTCGAGAAGGTAAATATTTTTATGAAATGCATGCATCTGCAAACTGACTTGGTTTCAACCGGACACTCGACTAAATTCGAGCTGGATCTCTTGCTCTTTCAATTAGGACATAAGCTTGAGGGAAACTAGGGAGCTTTACCTATTTAATGAGCCCCAAGGAGGGTGGAATTGCTGTTGAGGAGATTTCAGCGACCTTATGAGTAGTGTCTTACGTCTATACGATATATTGCCCATGAGCTATGGGCATGAAAGGGGGTATATCTGAAGTTAGGGGTCATACCTTAGGTCTCGTTTGGCCGGGAATTTCTTTCGGGATTGACAAAGGAAGCGCCTTTCCTGTAGAGGTCCTCTTGGGAGATAACTATATTGAAATGGTTGGTCGTTGGTTTGTTCGCTGAGCTGGGCAATTTGATTGCGGACGTCTCATCACTAATCGAGGTGACATCATCAGTGCGTTGTTAGGGAGCGTGGTGGAGCGTAGCGATAAGTTAATGGTTGTGTGTGTGGTGATGAAACGTTTGCAATCAAATTGCCCGGCTCAGCGAACAAACCAACGACCATCTACGCCACCTGAGCTTTCAACATTCTCTTCTATATTGAAATGGTGCTTTTGCTCCATATCTTTAAGAGATAAGTAGCAGCTTGGTCTCCAGATTTCGCAAGGGTCGGTTATCGTCACCTTTTGCATTCAATTGGAAACCCTTCAATGCGTCAGTGCCTTGCTTGCTTTGAACAAGTTCCGCATGACTGCGATCTCATAGTGGATTAATTTTAAAAAGACATGGACCAGAGTTTTGAGTGACGCATGTATTTTAATGACACTAAACAGTCAGGTTCTCTCGATGGATTTCCAGCAACCTTATGAGTAGTACATTACAAAGATATACATGTATCGCGATATCTCGAATATCGTAGCGACTGAAACATGAGGCGGCCTGGTGCAGCACATTCAGTTGCCTGGAAACATAACAAACAAGAGATTCAGCTGGGTTCCAAGTGAGTCTCTCGAAAAAACCAAGTTAGTTTGCAAATGAGCGCATATTCGCTAGTCAGATTCTCTGTTGGAAAGGGTTGAAACACTGAAATCATGTGCAAGAGTGGGAAGTTCTCACCTACACTTCTACCGTTCGCTTCGATATGTGCGGCGAAGAAAAGGCACAGAGCAACTTCTCTAACAGTAGTGTTGGTGGCCGATCATTCCAAACGACAGCAACATTAATGACAGTTAATTTATCGACTAAGTGAAAATGGCTCCAGAACTGGTCGTTATTATAGAGGCAGAGGTCATTTTTATGATGAGTACACTTCATGGAACCCTGAAACGTTTCGTTCAATATATTAGGTGTGCATCTGCCACTACTTTTTCTGAGAAGCAACAAATCACAGCGAACAAACTGTACAACCTTATTCAAACTCATTTCGAAGGTGTGCTTTACAGTTCAGGTGTGTTGTGGCCGGAGCGGGGGAAGTTTAGCTCGGCTGCTTCACAGAAACGATTGTTTATCTGAAAAATATAACTTAACAGTTGGCCAGCGGTGAAGTTGCCTGAGTTAGTCAACAGAAGATCAGTCTCTTGACTACATCCTAAACCGAATTCTCCACTTGACCAACCCGGCTTTTGAATCCCTAGTATGGAGGGTGGCAGCTTGGAATAGTTACAAGGAGGCCAAATAATCGACTCCCTCCTATTCTTGGTTGATCAGTCGAACGAGTATGAATGACCTTGAGCAGCTGAACCTTTGGAGATCTGAGCACTCAGATTGTATAAATAACCGGCAAAAAACAAAAGTCAAAGACTAGGTGGTCACCAGTGCCTTTGTGAGCACCAATGACTGTCCGAGAAAATTAGTCGGAAGAATCCTCCCTCGTCAGAGTGTCTGAGCAAGCCAACTTGTGCGTCCACCAGTTAGGCCCTCGTTTTGGGATATTCTTGGATCGTAAAAATATGAGAGGGTATCGAAGAATGCATGAAACGTTTGCAGCCTAGCGTGTGAATATCACGTAACACAGTGCGACGGTCGAAGACTCTGGTACGACCGAAGCAAATCGCGACCAGAACTGAACATCTCGTCAACTAGTAGAGCCTTTGCTCCATGGCTAGTGAAATACAATAGCTCAAGCAACTGAATTACAGTTGATCCATTCGTTTAGGATATTCTTCAACTGAGCGTGCTGCATATTGACAGTTTCATACTTCACTTGGTACGATATTCGGGAAGTCATAGTATATTTTTCCGAAATAGACTACTTATGAGAATGCTGAATACCTCTCTACTGATTTCACCCTTCAGTTTGTTGCTAATCAGATGGATGCAGTCCTCAAGTTTCTGTTAATCATATATTTTGAACGCAATTCGCAAAATACAATTATTTGCCAGCCAATCTGGTTTTAGCATAGCATTTCACCTTGATTCAACCTATCTGCGCTCTACAAAGCTGTCCCAGTTCCGGAGGTTCACGGTTAGACTCCATCTAAAGTGCATTAATTATAGGGAACCAACCGCCCCTCACATGTTGTGCAATGTTCCTATGCGGGTATTTTCCTATCCAAGCAAAAGACAGATCACTGTACAGACTTCATTCGTCGACATAATCTACGTATGTGATGGCTGGTCTAGTTGAGATCTTTGCGCACCTTTGCACCTTGTTAGTACGGTCAGTACAACCTACCTCAAGAGTAATGAATCAGCTTTAGTCGACTGTTCTCGGCTGCGGATATTAACTATCAAGATTTGGGGGCACAGGGTGATGAATGGTAGTTCATTTGGCAAGTAGCCAGAAGGCGTCTTCACTAGCAAGATCCGAACTGAAACAAATGCAAGCACAAGTAGGCGCGGAAAGCGCATTGAGGTTAAGTTACCTAAATTAGTCCTGGTGTAGTTTTTAAACACACCGGCCTGAGGAGAATGCGGTCATCCTGAAGCGCGATCACTACCCCCTGTCTAGAGCTCCTCGTTGGTCTACCATGGAAAGTTTTGTCATAACACTACGGTGTATCGGTCCTGTGAAACCGGAACTAATTCACCTGTAGGTTCACCTGTCGGAACTAATAACGGAGGGGTATTAAGCAGTGTCCCTTTGGGAAGGGTTTCGGCCCCGGAGGAATGTGTTCAATAATTTACTCTGTAGCGCACCCCTAATTCCAACAGAAAATATGATGTTTAGTCTGAATTAAAGTGAAAAATCGAAGACGTACCACGCTACTCATAAGGTTGTTTAGAAGTACCATAAACGAGAGATTCATATGGATTTTAGGTGAGTCTCCCGCAAAACCAAGTTTGTTTGCAACTGAGCGTATTTCGCTAATTTCGTGAAATTCGGTTTCAAATAGAACATAAGGTTGACGGAATACTCAGAAACTGCGCCTAACTGACGAGCTCTAATGAAGGCGAAACCGGTCGAGAGTTGTCGAGGTATTTTCAGCAACCTTATGAGTAGTGCATTACGTCTATACATGTATCGCGATATCCCGAATATCGTTGCAGATGGAATATGAGGGCGCCTGGTGCAGCACATTCAGTTGCTTAGAAACATCATAAACAATAGATTCAGCTGGGTCCCAGGTGAGTCTCTTGCAAAACCAAATTTGTTTGCAAGTGAGTGTATTTCGCTGAAATATCTAAGTTTTGACGAACTCCTTTACTGTTTGAAAACCGTACGTTCTGCGGAGGGAGGTGTTATGTTAATGGGCTCGATAGCACTGCAAGTCCCAGTCAATAAAAATACACTGCTCCGTGAAGGTCATATGTGTTTCTGTAGAAGTTTGCAAATCAACCGTAGCAAGAATTTCTGCGAAAGAGAACTACACAAGCATGTTCCACGAGAATTCCCAGTGGCGTTTGGAAGAACGCTTTTCAGCTGCACTTATTTAGTTAGTTAGTTAGTTAGGTAGGTAGGTAGTTGGTTAGTCGTTCCGGTTTGTTTTTCACAACGTTAACAGAACATAACATCAATATTAACTTTACTTTGTAGTTTAATGCGTTCGGTTTCTGACATTCCCATCTTGCTCCTTAGTAAGGCCACCTAGGAATTTCGCCCCCGGCTCACGGGGCGAACAAAGGTCCATCAACTCGAAACGAAAAAGAAAACTAAGTGTGTGTGACGTGAGATGACAAAACCCACGTTTACACACAACCAACTACGTTCCAAAGATGGTGACAACCTAAACGGGAACCGAATTTGTTTACTAGTTTAGTTAAAACCGTTTTGGAGGTAGAGGGGGGTTGGTTGGTAGGAGGATTTAGGAGAAAGGAAAGAAGATGATACTTTTTCCACTGGGAATTCTTGTCGGTGCATCGACTCGGTATAAATCAACAAGGTAACCACATGTGGACAGGAAGTTTAATGGCTCCGTCAAATCCAGTGGCAGCTGATGAGTCTGTTAGAGTTTTGACTTGTTGCTACGGGGTCTCGGCGCGGGTGACCTATTGCTTGAGCGATAGAAAGGTGCAATATATTTGCATACATCTAGCTAAGGGTTTCAGGCTTCGAGTGTGTGCAGTTTTAAAAACAGGCTATTGACGATGATCTATAAGTGTATATCATTCAACGAGTTGAAGAAAACCTGACAAAGACTGTGGTGGGTCAACAACTGTTATGCTACTTTTTGGCTATTCCGGGAAAATCAAATCGCCATCGGTTAACGTGACTTCCTGAGAAAGGTTGGGTTCCAATGTACAGTCGTCGAATAATTCAGTTTCTGTTTTTGAAATGTATCTGAACTAGTTGGATCATGTACAGTTAGTTCTGAAGGTTGGCCCAACCACGCGCACTAAGCGCGGAGATTCCATCTAGAGGGAAATCTAAGGGCTTAGAGTGAACAGAGTCTCGAGGTTTCCAGATTACTGGCCCAAGTCATTTGAGGTTTGGACCTCTTGACAGTCAACATTCGTCGACTGGAAAGCATCGCTTTTGATTGCGAATGGCCGAATATGAGCTACTGCATACTATCTGCCCACGATGTGGCCAGGAGGCACGACCGAATGGACAGTGGCGTCTAATGGACGCCTGCCGAGAGTGCATGTTATACGATGAATCATCACCAAATGACGTAGGTGCTGCGCAGATGCGTGGGGCTTTCAGAGAGAATGTGCAATTGACGTTGAGGAAATGAAAGAGAGCAATATCAACCTGAGTTCAGTGCCTTAGTGGAGCTAATAGTGAGCAAAGTTCCGGCTATCCCTACATCTCCTCTTCTTGAGGGAGACTTACCGGAAACCTTGCTGAATCTCTCATTTATGATGTTCATAAGCAGCTGAGTGCGCTGCACCAAGCCAACTCATGTTTCAGCTGGTACGATATTCGAAATGTCGCAACACATGGCATAAACGTAACACACTGCTCATAAGTTCACTGAGAACTCATCGATAGCTCACGACTGACTTTGCTTTCCTTGGAGCTCATCTGATAAGCGTAAGAGTGTATCTGTCGAATTTCGTGCAATATGGGTTCAAGTAGAACATAAAGTTGACGAAAAATCAGGGAGCGCAACTACCTGATGAGCCCCAAGAAGGAAGAAACCGGTCGTGGGCTGTCGAAGAATCTTCAGTAACCTTATGAGTAGTGCATTACGTTTATACGCCTTTCAGCAAACTTATAAAGTTGTGTGTTACGTCTGCACTCTGACATGTTTCTGTCGGGCTGCTTGTCTGTATGACCTCACAGGCACTCTGATGTCAGATGAGGAGGCCTTCCTGTCCTGAATCTTGAGTAATAAGTAATGTGGGCTTTGAGGACTTACTTTGACCTGCATTGTAGATCTGAACATTATCGATTTCCCGTCCCTATTGAAAGATCTCGTAGAGGCTAGAAACGCTAAGACCTATCCATGTTGAGTCGAGTTCGATCGACTCTCGTATTGATTTCATTCGCTTCAAATTGAAAATGCGGTGAGCGCGTACACCCATTTGTCTGTTCGACCTTCGTTCGCATTTCTCACGTGGAATGCGTTGTATTTTCAGAACATCCACGCAATCCTCACAGAGTGCTTATTTCCTATGATCCTGTTTTGTTCAACCCACTACCAAATGACAACTACAATAGCATTTAAAAAATAACAACATTCTAGCGTTCAATCTGTTTTTTGGATACCAAGATCAGTTTTCCCACCTACAAACCAATTCATTAATAAGAAAAATAATCGATCAGCTGTAACATCCTTCCGGTGCCTAACTGCCTTGCCACCCGAAATAAGCCTGTGGGCTGGGATACTGCTAGGTTGCCCAAGCCTAGACAGAGGAAGTTGAGAGGCCGAAGTCGGGTTCGAACCACGGACCTTCCGGTCAGCAAATTCGTGTTATAACTACCTGAGCCATCTCGTCCGAAGGAACAACGAGTGCGCATCTCACGAAACTCACTTTCGAACCTGCAGTCTTTCGGTTAGTACTTAGGCAATTAACATTTTGGACAAGATGTGCTGATCAGCAGTGTGATTAGCTCTCACATAGAATATGGCGCCACTCATCTTCCAATCAAAGATTCACATGACGTGGTCAAATGATGTCTGTGTCCTTGAGTGGCAACTTCTCAGATGGGAGTTCCATTCGAATTGTTCATTCAACTTATTCTTCCTCTGCGCCATTTATAGACTGTGAAATGATTTCGTAATTTAGTCTATCTGAATGTCTCCCACAGTTTATCCAACATGCTCATCAGAGGTGTGCGATAGCCTTTGTTTACTCATCAACGCTGGTTCCATACACTGTTTTAATAGGCAACCCTAATACTTCTTTTTGCTTTGGAGCCACTGACTGCCTGATGAATTTTTCATGTTTACTTTTGCCCCTGTGTCCCCTTAAGATGGTCGAGTCATCATGGGATGAGTGAGGTGATGAATGCTTCCGAGGAAACATGTAACCAGCCAGGTACGTAGTGACTGAACGGAAATATGCCTTGTCTTGACGTAACAACCGCCACATAAGTCGTCAAAAAGTCGATTTGCCAATGAGAGTGGCTGGCGTAGTACCTTCAAGAAAAACAGAAGGTTGATGGGAACTCAAGGCGGTACCTACCCGACAAGTCCAAATAAAAAGGGCGTGGACTGCCGAGGAGTTTTCAGCTACCTTACGAGTAATGTGCTACGTCTGGACGATGTGCTGCGATATCATACCAACTGAAACATTAGACGGCTTTGTGCACCACTAAGTTGGAGATCCAGTTTAGTCCCCCGGTAAAACCAGGCTAGTGTGCGCTTAAGGGTAGGTGACGAGGAACTGACCTCATCTTTACTGCTATGACATTCAGACGGTTATGTGCTTTAGTTTGCCACCACATTTCACGTGGATGGGTGTTGAGTAGTTTGAACTTTCAGAGCGGCAGGTCGAGTTCCTCAGAAAATATCTTATTCACTGTCTAATTGAGCTGGAGATGCTACATTTCTGTGGTATAGGTTTTCACCATTCTCTACTCTGATGAATGATCAACATTCGGATTAATTAGTGTCGTGTCTGACTACTCATCCGTAATAAGTAGCACTTGCACCCTCTAAGCTGTTGTGTTGAGTGACCTGTGTCACAGTTTCAATAAAATACATGCATTCCTGATGGACGACCGAAAGAGGGAGCCGAATCAGCCGTTCGTGTGGGAGGGTTCTCCTGAGAATTCACATTCCGGATGGGTTGATTTAAATGTTTTGTAAATTTGTGATCTGAATCGGGTGGAGAATTTCGGGAAGACCTTAATTTGTGTGCACTATGGTGCCTGTCGCCAACTATATACTAAAACTGACGTGAGCGGAGACAGAATTTAACACCTACCTGCGTGTTTGAAAGACCAAGGGTTTTCGCAATGCGATCACGATCCGTGGGTGTCAGATATTTCTGTCGATTGAAGTTATGCTCTAGTTCGGTCAGTTGTGAATTCGAGAAGGTTGTCCTTGTTTTTCGTCGCTTTGCAATCCGGGTTCCACGGTTGATGCAAGAGATGCCCAGATGGGTAGTCACGTCAGCTGGAGTAAACAGGGGTTCGGTTATGAAGAACTGTTTGATTGATTAAGCAAACTTTAAAAGACCACATTTAAGTTGGTGTTTTGGTTCCACGGTTCCGCGGTGACACCAAACATGAAAATAAAATTAGATGAACTTGCTGCGACTGCTCCAATTACTCATGGGAACACTGAACGATCCTAACGATGCTGCTAGTGGCCACCAAGGGAATTACGTTGATGATGACGACGTTAATGGTAATGGTGCTGATGATGACGATGATGATAATGATGATGATGATGAGATGATGATGATGATGATGATGATGATGATGATGACGATGATGTGATGGCGGTAATGAGGATTGCGATAACGATTATGACGATGGTGGTGATGATGAGGGTGAAGACGAAATCTTGTGAAACATCTTGTGAAAGTGGCAAACTCAGCATGGGTGATATATATCAGATTCAGGTTGAGCCAGCTTACAGCGGGGGTATGATAGGATGGAGGAACTGAATTACTTCAAGCCATCTCGAAATCCTTCATGAAACCTAATGGATATCACCGGGCTGTGTCCAATTCGATCTGTACTCCGTCTCCGTGCCAGTTTCTGAAATAATGAAATAACTGGATGAGGGTTCTTCACCATAGAAAGACCGATGTTAAGTGGAATACCATCTTTGCATTCCAAAGCGTGGTCATTGTAATTGGATGACTAAATAGTCACCTATCTGTGGAGAGAGCTTCCCTCAGAGAAGCGTAATCGATTCACTCCGCACAGTGGCCAACCCATCTAGCAGACCCCTTTTGGTGAATCCCTTGAGGTATTCCATCTGGAAGAGAATATATCCACTTTACTATCTGCAGACAGATCGCTTGAGATGCTGTCCAAAAGTGTTCTTCTACAAAGATTTCATCAATAAAAGGAACACAAGGGGAATCCAGATGTGGTCTCCACAAAGTGGATCACGATGGTAGCAGATATGCGTCTCATCGATAGGGAATTAGTGTAACCCACAAACATTTAAGGAACATTTCTCTCTTTAAGCAATTTGTCACCTAAATGACTTTGGGATGCAAGGAAGACAAGTGTACACATTTTTTTCCATTCCGCTTTTTCTTGAGGGGGGCCTTCCTCCATAGAGTCTTCTCCATCAGAGCTTCGGTTCATGCATTTCAAGTTAAATCTTACGAGTCCTGTTCTTCATAAGAGGTTCGTCTTAGGGAACTACACATGTGTGGACGCGCTGGACCCTATTCGGCCAAGAATACAGACAGAGATTATCGGAATTCCTAAAGCTCAATTTCCGACACGGAAGAGAAGAAAGTTGATAAAACCATGTTCAATCAAAACCAAAGAATTCCTTATGGTCCCAGTAGTGTAATACGCAGATGACTTCAGAGCTGAGTGGATGATTACAGTGGCGAATAATACGGGTGAGCAAACACCAAGATCTTGTTGAGTTAAATAAAAATGAATGTATAGACGCAATACACCACTCATAAGCCGTCTGAGAACTCTTCAACAGTCTACGACCGGTTTTGCCCTCCTTGGAGCTCATCAGTCAGGCGCAGTCCCCGAGTTTCCGTCAACCTTATGCTCTACTTGGACCCAAATTGCACGAACTTAGCGAAATACACTCATTTGTAAACAAATCTTTTTGTGACGGGAGAGTCACCCGAAACCCAGCTGAATCTCTCCTTCATGAAGTTTTTAAGCGACTGAATGTACTGCACCAGGCTGCCTAATTTTCCAGTTGACACATCATAAACGAGAGATTCAGCTGAATTCAGGGTAAATCTCTCACAAAGCCGAATCTGTTTGCAAATGAGTGTAGTCTCCCGTGTTCTTGGGCAGTATGGAATCTATTGCCACAAATCCTGGATAGTTACTTGGTTGAAGAATCTGATTTGTACTGCTTGCGCTCATAAATGAAAGGGAGTTGAGGCCATTGACCGTTTCCCCTCTAACCCAATCTCTCCTGGATGTCAGAGGTGCTTAAGGGTGCGCGATTTCCAGTCTGCAGACAAGTGATGGAATTTGCACGGGAAAATTCTCGGAAATATTGGATTACCAAATCTCGATTTTGAGTCTCATTTTTTAGAGTAGGACTCACCTATCTGGTGAATTTGAAAGGCACTGCGTGAATTTTCATCTTTAACATCTCACAAAATTCAAGGGGCTTTCAAGTTCGTAGCCTTTTGATGAACAGTTTTAATGGATATCATAAACGAAAAGTTCAGTTGAGTTTCTAGTTAACCCTATTGTAAGTTGCAAACAACTATATTTACCAATGGAGTAGACATTCATTTTACCTGTTTTTAACGTCATAACGTGTATATGGCTTTCCTACGAATTTTTACAAATTGTCGTTCACTAATCTTCCGGCGACAATACAGAATGAACGCTGATCTACCAAGTTTGATCTAAACCGGTCGAACGGTTAGCACATCCAAGAATGATTAGAGGGGAAAAATGGACGCTTTCGCATAAATGTGTACTGACCGCCTTTCGTGACTCACCCCACGCTGACACAGTGTCCTGATTGTGTGCGGTTACACAGCGTCACGTGATTTGACCTTGTGACGAATGTCGTGCCGTCCGGTCGCTCTGCCACCCAAAGAATGACGTTACAGATGTTTGGCTGATTTCCGATAATGTAGTCTCTGGGCTGTCTGCCACAGTAGAGTGGTGAGTGGACTCGTGTGCACCAACTAGTCTGATTAATTGTGACCAAGCCCCAAGGGGAGCATAATCTAACTTGGATATTCCGACCGGTATGTCAGACGACACGCGGCTCTGAACGGTTTTGGGGTCGTTGTAACTGTGTGTAGAAAGCACGGGAACCTAGATGATGTTTTCGAGCCGTTGATCATTTGATCCGACGGTTCACATTCTGTGTTTGTTGGTTTCAGGTGGATTGAGGAACAACTGCTGAAAGGAGTGCCTGCGCCCGCGTCAGTCCTCATAATCATCCAATTGTCCGCATTGTTATCACCACAATGCTACTGTCGGGTCAAATCTGTGACCATTCCATAGTTTGTAGCTAGCGAAAACAAAAAATCCAACTGAAGTACAGTCGCCACGACTTCGATCGGCTGCAATCATACCACCCTTGATCCTAACTCTCGGCATGTCACCGGGACACCACGAGATCGAGATTGCCCGCTGTTGCTAAGGCACTATCCATTCGGCTGAAGATATCTGACCTCTGTGAGCAAACACAATCCTAATGGGCACTGACATTCACCAGATCGGCAACTAATCCAAACCAAAACAGACCTCCCACCATGTGAAGCTTGACATTGACCTTTCGATCATTAACGGCAGCATACGCCCTGACAGTGCACTTTTCATTTTTCTGGTTTTTAGGTAGTCTCTTTTGACTGTCCTCTAAATCGGATTTATCGATCACCATTGGTTCAACCAATATACACCTCCTCATAGTCTGAGTCCACTGACTTCCAGCGCCGAGACGAATTCAGTGTTCATTGCAAACTCTTGGCTCAGTCACAAGCCCGAGGGAAAATGACCGATGGGCGAGTGCACAAGCCATCAGCCGACCCAAACATGGTGTCTGTCATGCGTATTGTGCTGCACATTGCGTGTTTACTGTCTCACCTTCACAATGATCTCCTTAGAGCGTCACCAGTGTACGGACACCATTGGTGCGTTATACTGTTGGGCCAGGTCACGACGCATTGTGCTGCTAGTTGCGTGTTTACTGTCGCACCGTCACAATGATATCTTTAGAGCGTCACCAGTGTACGGACACAACTGGTGCGTTATACTGTTGGGCCAGGTCACGCCATCACAAACCCATGCACAGGTCACAACATGCCAACTAGGGACGAAACATGGATGACCTAGTTATTAAGGTCACCGAACAAATCAGGCATATTCGGGCCTTGAAGGTGATGTCTCGGGCGACTCGCGAAACTTGACTTTCACAATATTCTTCTATTGACTGTACAAAGTCTCCACGTGCTTCACAGTCACGCTTGATGGAAACCCTAGGAGTGGATCAAGTTGACTAGCCCCAAACTGTCCGTAGTCTGATGTCTGTGAGTTTGGATCAGCCTTACGGGTAGTATCTCTTCAAGGTCAGATGCCTGAAGATAACCCCAGAACACCCGGAACCTACTGAGACCCTGAAACTCCACAAACATTTCAATAGGAAAGCCGGCAAGCATCCAGGCCAGCCAATCATTCAATCAATTCAGCAAAAGCCGATGAGTGTGCATGCACGCTACAGAAGCACGACCGAATGTGATCAGCGTTCAGGCTTTCATAGAGGCACGATCGATGTTGATGGGTGTTCACTAACGCCTATCAGACAGCCTGGATCAATATCAGAATGTCCCCTTTAAATAGCGCGAGGCCGTCGTAACTTTTGCTCTCGCACTCGCACGCACTCACGCTTTCGCACTCACGTGTTCGGAATATAGCAGTTGTGTTCTCTTGTGAATGAACCCTGCAGACAAAACTCCGAGTTATCCCAGCCGCTTACAAAATGCCTCAGGCTTCTCAAAGCAATGATCTTGAAACTTAGCGGGAACTAGCACAGTGTCACTGATATAAAACTCGCTCTGGGCGTTTATGTTAGGATAAGAAAAGGGTGACGTGTCTGATGAATATAGTAGCTTCTCGGACAAAGACAACTCACAGGGAAAGGCTCAAAAATCTTGGTGGTGCGGGTCTCTCTTGAGGGAGGTGATCGCGTCACACGGACAGTACGAGCAGATGCTACTATAGTGTCTCAGATTTTCATAGTGTCACTACGGTACGCATCAAAGACTATAGCTTGGACCCTCACTTCTGATTTTTATTGTTCCCATTCGGCTATGAGGGACAAGTCCAGCGTCGAGGCTGTTTAAAGCGGTGTTGAGTCTGAAAAAGTTTACCGAGTGTTTGACCGGTAATGGTGATATTGATATGCAGGTTTCTAGATATATATTCTAGTTCAAAATGCGGGAACCGACCCCTGGATGCGGCCAGAAGAGGCCCTCGGAAGATGGACTGGGCCGCCGCGAAGGAATCCCTTGCAGCGGAGCTCGACACTCTTTGAATCGGTTGGTGCGACCGAGTTGCTGGAAGAAGGCAGGGGACCGTTCACAGCCGCAGGGAGTGTCTCGGGCGGAGGTCCATGTACATAACATTTTTCCACATCGTGGGCGGATGGTTTTCGTGAGGTCACCTGCTGACGGTTTACACAAGTAGCAGATATGGCAGATTTCCGAACATTTAGGAACGAGGTCCGAGCAGGTACAGAGAGGCGGCGATGGCGGAGCTTTTTCCTCAACGAAGCTGATTCACTGGCGTTTCGCGTGCGTCTGGTTAGCACATTGCCGTTTGTACTTGTACCTTGCAGTGCTAGTGCACTCTCCACGGGGATTGTTTGCACACGAGCGGATGTTTTTCCGTCTTTTTGAAGTAGTTTCACTCACCTTCGCCTGAGTGTTTGCAAGCAGATCCGAATCTTCTAAGTTCGTGCATGCGGATATCCCAAAACACTCATTTTTCCAATGCGTCATTTCAGGGCTTGTAGCAGTTCTTCCCGAGGTTGCCGCTAACTAGGCCTTACCACGATCCTTATTACTGCAATTATGCCAGTATGGCAGCATCCAGCCAGAAGTGACCGACCCAGTTTGTGGTGCGTTAACAGCGTCCTACTCGCCATGTCTGGTGACAAATGACGTTCAGGTGGGCCTCGGATTACCCCAATGGATTTTAAGATACTTGGTGTTGTGACTGAAGAGAGCATGATATGCTAATGTGTGGACAAATAATCCCATGAGGGAATGCGGTGCTCTTATAAACACCCACCCTATTCGTATTCTACAATGGTAATTTTATTCAGTAGTACACCCGTTGAAGGCTAGTTTCCGGAGGATTATTGATGAGTGTTCTGACATTTCAAACTGTCTACTTTTTTAGAATCTGCATTTACGTATCGCCAAGAGGGAAGTTATTATAACCGTCAAGTGGAATTGCGTTATCAACACTCACGACATCCCCGCCTGACAATTTTGTGTTTTTGTAAGGCTGAGTTATATCTTATTGGTAAGCTCCTGGAGCTCTGGTGAGAGTAACCCCCGGGGTTCCAGGTTGACCGGCTATGATCTTTACACTTGGCTGCCCTAATGATTTATTGAATAAATACCTAATTTCTCAATATTCCAACGAAATTTTACCATGAAGTCTTGCATTAAATGTTGTGTTCGTAACACGAATGAAGCCTGCCTGTATGCTGTCCCGGAAGCTTGGGTCATGAAGTTGCCTGGTGGATCTGTAAATATGGCAGCGCAAGAATTTGTTGCGGATCGAAACCTACCTGTTCGGTATTATGATGTCGGGGAAAAGATGAACTTGTTGCAATTTCTACTGCTCTCACTGCCACATAGTTGAGCTTCAGGCAAGTTCCCAAAAACACTGTGAACTTCTCGTTGTCTAAGAAGCCCACCAACTATCCAACTGTGCTTTATTATCCAAGTATTTAGTATTTAAGCCTCACTGACTAGTAATAAACTTAGGGAAAGGGGTATGAGCTACTAACTTCAGGAACTCGTCCAGGGAAGCGAATTCGGTAGTACGCAATCTGTTCATTAGTTCATCTCTCCTTCCTTTCCTATAAAATAGGGTGTGTGGGGCTTTTCTATCATGCCAACTGGCAATTATCAGCTCAAATTTCTCAGATTCCACCCCCTACACTGATTCCTTCGGGTAGTCGCGCTTTCGAAACTCACTGAAGTCGAATACGCACTGCTGATTAATCTCTCAATGAGGATGAAACAGTTCCTCTGGGCTTTTCAACATAGACTGGCTTTACTCGACTCACAGTTCGACTGAATGCTAATACGGGATTCAGCAGTTACTCCAAAATTCACCAGCCGTATGGTTCCCATTGAGTTAGTCGAAAAGCTTTCAGAAACTTTGTGAGTAGTTTCCTTCGTGATATCTCGAATATCGTACCAAATAAAGCATGGGACGGCCGATGTGCAGCACATTCAGTTGAAGAATATCATAAACGAGAGATTCAGTTGAGTGGAACTGATATGCAAGTGGGTGTAGTTCACGTTTGAAAACGCGCAGCCAGGCTTCCCACAGGTGACTGGGTACGAATCTTTTCAAACCAATAAATTAGACTGTAGTCTTCACACCATCGATTGGTAACCGTAATTTTTACACCGGGACTAGTATGACAGCGAGATCTGTAGCATTCTAAATAGCTTCGAAGCCTAGCCAACGTTGTTCCACAAAATGGATGGTTTACACACCCTGGGAGAAAGGCTGAAGTAATTAGCACAAAAAATCTACTCAACACCGTTTGCCTACCTGGGACAGTGGACCTCCTGTGTAGTTGTTGCATTGAGGACGTTGTCATGTGAATAAGAGCATCTAGGGCGGAGTTTGCGGTCTGTTGTTGCTGCTGCTGTTGCCCCGGTAAGCCCCCATCTGAGTCGTCATCAACTTGACAATCGTCAGGTTTCTCCAAGGGTCCGAAAGCAATCCACTGTTGCTCACTTTCTGTTGAATAGGGGCTCGATGGCTTGGAGGAGGTGGTTGTCAAATTGATGTTATCATAGTCACTTGACCGGCCAGAGTGGTGGATAACATTGGAAAAAGCTGAAATTCGGCCGTACTCTGTGATTCCTTTGCTAAGAAGGGGAATCCCGTCCGGGGAAAGTTCAACAGCTTTGGAGTCGTAGGTAGAAACTGGTAAAGACTGAGTATCTTGGAGTTTCAAGTAGTGTTGCGTGTACCGACCCCATTCTTTTGCTTTGCTGGGACAGTGGGATTCACTGCTGGTCGAGTCGGAGTGGTGTTTAGGTGGGGCGGTTCTCCTGTAGTTCGCTTCTGCTGGCAAGTTGGGGGGATTGGATGTGCTTAGGTTAATTAATCTATGCAGAATGTCTCCATTTTTCATTTGTCCCAACACAAGGTTATCGAATCGCTTGTTTATGGGTTCTTCGTTTGTGTCCAGTAGAATGTTGGACAACCCTAGTAAAAATGTTGATACTAGACTGGGACTGTTGGTCAGATAACTTGGGAGTTGAGCCCACAGTTGTGGGTCTATCGGAGGCACTGTGGACAAGTTGGTTTGAATCTGTGGAAGAGTTGGGAGCTCATTGTCAGTCTGGTTGGGTGATGCAGTCGAGGCAAGGATATCGTTAATCCGGAACGATGGGGCTAGCTTGTCGGTTTTGGCGAATGAGGGCTTTGCCATGCGTTGTATGTCCATGATAGAGTGAGACTGAATAACCATGGTCAGGGCGCAGTTTACTGTGCTCACCACCGGATCACTTCATTTATACAGTGGTTAGGTGACAGGGGTAGAAGTACGGCCTATCTTGCGATGACGCGCTGCTGTGTAACGCTGACCAATCAGAGTTCGGCATTGGTGTAAGAGGTGCTGGGTGTAAGCTGACGTCGTAAGCTGATTGGTCATAGCAAGGAACCTGCACGCAGCTTACCCATGAGTGTGTCCAATTCATCAGTTTGACATATACAATGTGATCAACAGGACAAATATCTCCCATTAAATTTCATTTCGATGAATATTAGGAACGACTGAAGATAGTTTCCGAATCTTTAAAGAAAACAGTAAGATAAGTTTCAAACGGGGTTTCTTCCTGTTCCAACGACATTCGAAGGGCTTGAGTCAAATGGATGAAGCAGGTGAAATCTGAAACACACACACACCATTTGGACTAAGTTGAATCCCGATAAGGCGAACTCTTTATTGGTTGGAACAGTGATCCTTTGTGATGGATGGCTCACTATGTGTAAAGTGGGTTTAACCAAATTTGAGGACTACCCCTTTCATACACCACAACTGAAACATTGTACAATAGAACGTATCTTGAACAAAATGTGCAAGAATGACTATTTCTAAGGAATTCACCATCATAGTTCGTTTTCGTGTGTATTCAGTAGGATTTAAATCGTCGTTTCCCTTTTGCCCACCATTGTCCATTCAAGTATCAAAAGAGAAAGGTAATGCTTCTAATTGATGTTTCGCGAATGATACGGTTGAGATAGTCCTAAATGTACAGCCGGTTTTGTTCTTGCGGAATTGAAATATCGCTCGGTACATTATACGAGATTCTGGAGACTATGACTACCTGAACAGAGTGAGACTGGTAGTGGACTTTTGTGCATTTATCTCACACTATTTAAATCAAAAAGACAGGTGGCCTTCTGTAGAGTGAGTCTTGCTGGTCTCGCATATCGCACCGATTTGACTAGATCAGATCAGGGAATTTTAGATAAGATAGGGTAGGTAAGAATTAGAAAACAGAGGTTTGGCTATGTTTAGTTGAATCTTTCGTCAAAACCAGATTCGTATGAAACCGAGAGCATTTGGTTAATGGATTAGGCAACTTGTGACGAACATTTCAAGGGGCTGTGACGCAACAGATCTGTATCTCTACGCGAAACTTACTGCAGAAAGCACCAATCGCTATTGCAAGGCAAAAGACAAGGTCTCATTCCGTTGGAAAACATCCCGTTCCTCGTCGAAGTTGACCTCACTCGACTTCCTCTCTCACCTTCACTTTCTCCTTTGTTCCCCTCTCATCTCAACTTCTCGCTGCCGTCTTGGTCAGTGATTCCCCGTCGTAGGTTGAAATCTTTGCCTACAGTCTGGTGGCCTTGTGTGTATGTCGTCCTTATATGTGAAGCACCTGGGGACCACATACCACTGATCTGGAGCATGAGACATTCAGTATAGGCATTACTCATTCCACAACACCTCTGGATACTGAAAGCCTTGGATAGCATATCATGACTGGACTGGTGCCAGAAAAACTGCTACGCGCCGGGTCAAAAGTTCTCCTAAACTCAAGCGAACACCTTGAAGCTCACGTGTTTTTCTTGCAGATGTAAACAGTTGTCAACTTTTATCACTTTTTCGTACACTTGTCCGGGTTGGTACTGTCTCTCTCTCTCTGGCGACGGGTAGGTTGGAGACTCAGCAGAACACTAATCAACAAGCCAGTCCAACACCACGTCGCCGTACACAACGATTACCAGACTTGAGAAGTGTGATTCACCTGATCCTTGGCTAGGCAAGAATTTCACTGGGCTCATCGGACGGCGATAAGTACAGAGGGTGAAAGAGGGTCACAAAAGAACTAATTCAGCAGCAGTAGCAGTGGCGTCTAAAAGCTTTTTTGCTCATGAAAGTCACGCGATTACAAAAGTGCATCATTCAAAAATCGCAAGTCTGACAGTTCGGCAACGACGGTGCCGGTGGACAGACTATATTTTCTTTCCCATAAAATCTCCCCTAGTAGATCTACGAAGCTCGACCTGAGGGAAATCGGTAACCTGACTGGAAAACTGCGAAAGCTTTGTGAATGACACTGTCGCACCAACGACAGACGAGCGGTGTTCACTGTTCACAAATGTACATGCAGTTCTTGTAATGACAGGCAACCGTTTTTTTTTTTCGAACAATCTGGCTAGTTGTGGCAACCAATGGGTCTGTTGCAATGATGATTTAAGATGTTCGACTGGGTCTAATAAAATGCATTCGATAAATTTTGATTTATGCGTCCAAATCAACATCAATTTGTCCCCCCAAGGTCGGTCCATCTATGTGACTGATCAGTGCACACAGGTACCGGACTGCCCTTAGTTAGTGAATTACATATCGAGAGAGCGGTTGACGAACGGTTGACAACGGCTTGCTTTTGTGTTTTATGTGAATAAACGGCTACGGAAGGGGGAGGGGGACAGGGGGGGGAGAGAAAGACAAATAGAGAATTGACAAAAAGCTAAATAGCTGTCAACGCATATATTCGGTTTGGCATGGTTCGATACTTGTTTATACCAGGAAGAAAACAAGCGATTTGATATAGTGCCCATCTGATAAACACTAACATCATGTCTACATAGTTGCGGAATCGATCTTGGGAAAAGATGTTCCACTGGAAACGGGGAAAAAACGGCACCCGGAATCAAATCGGTAATACGTCTAAATTAGAATTATGTAGTGGAACCATACAATGGTGATTTGCGTGATGCATTCATTTAACTCAGTTTTGTTGTCCGGATGAATCTAGTCTTAGAAAGCTCAGTAAGGTTGACTAACTGAAGACTTTAACAGACAAAATATGGCTTTGGAACAGCCATTTTACATTTCAGCCACTTAGGATGATCGTTCTGCTACACAACTTACAATCGCATTCATTCACACACGTCAGAAATTCCGCTTAACCCCAGAAATGTACCGTGAACGTTCAGCCACTGAGGATGATCGTTCTGCTACACGACATACAATCACATAATGGGCTTCATTCACACACGTCAGAAAGTCCGCTTAACCCCAGAAATGTACCGTGAACCATGCATTCGTGCGGAGCTTCTATCAGGGAATGTTTGTGATAATCCCCCTACGTATCAGATGCCGGAGGATGAACAAGTTTTAAATGGGTCAGAACCTCTCCTCATTGAAGTGTTTTCTCCAGAGAGTTATGAGTTTTGAAACAGAGAACCTTCGACACAGCAAATACCACGAAGAACGATACATGCAGGGGTTTGTTCATCCCTGAAACAGACTGTACTCCTTCGTCTAGGCTCCGCGAACCTTAACACCGGATTGCTGAGCATACTGAGAACTCCTCTTGCAGCGGGGATGAATAACACGAATAACACCCAGCAAGGATCAGTTCAATTCGGAGAGAAGGAGCACAAGAATGACCTCACACTATTGCTAATCAATAAGCAGCTCACAGGAAGAGCAAGTCAAACTTCCAGTTCGGAAGTCCTCACTCGAGAAAGCAACCAGTACGTGACCACGTGATGTGGCTTCTGTGACGGAAGGATGAACAGTACTGCATGCTGTGTAAGTGGGAGCCAATCGCGTCGCTGTTTAGTGGCCGGTCCCAAGCACTGTGGGTTTCTATGGGTTGATAATCCCAAACAAGGACAAAACAGCTGTACATTGCTTTTTTGACTTTCCAGCACAGGCCGGCATCACTGACAGGACGAGATCTCAACTGAAACTAGAACACATTATTTTGGCAGATATTTGTCTAAGTACAGTGTGACAAGCGGTTCTGGAGCCGATTTTAGCCTCGGACACACATTGATTGATTACTGAGTTTGGCAGTGAGAATGCCACGCGAGTGTAATCACGTGACATGTATGCCAGTGTTGGACTGAACGGTACTACGTCAGCAAACGCACACAGCGTAGCACGGATGCTCTGGATTTATTGGTAAACTAGAAACGCCCTCAAAACTAGTCAAGGGTTTCGGCCCAACTTAGAAAATCGATATAAGATAGGCCATGCCTTGAGGCATGGCTAACCAAGAAAAGAAACTCCATTTTAGGCAGTGATGGGGAGGGAAAACGCAAGGCTAAGAATCTTTACAAATGTGCTCACTGTGGTGAGGGTTCGTTAAAACGTAAACAAAGGAGGCGATTTACCCAAAAGAACGAACAGTTTAGTCCAAGGACGCATTTTATTGTTGTGTAAAAAACGAACGAGTTGGGTGATCTACCTAATGGGACTACTTCGACTTGGCCTCCACTACTCGAGGAAATTAACTGCGTATTTTTCAACCTATCGAAAGTGAAACCGAAGACGGGCAGCAGAAAAGAGTCTCTTACTGCACACAATGTCAAAGGTCACTGTTAAGTAAGGCAACATTAGGAAGGAAGCATGCTTTGGGCTGCCTTCAGGGTACTGGTTGCCTATGAAACTCACGACAATCTTCTACCGGCTGTTCCTTCATTGTTTCTGTCATACAAACCAATTTTGGCCGAAAGAGATCTAGACTTAACAGACTACTCAGTAGGTAGCTGAAAACCCTTGGAAGAAAAGAGAGGTATTGTTTCACTGCAACTGCCAAATATGACGACGTTATACTTTCACAAACGGGAGGATCTAAAGGATCTCTGGTCGAACTTCGTTGTTGTTTAACCGAAGAAGCAGTGCAAAGCTCAGTGTGAGGTTTAGTTGAGTGGCTTTTCAAGGTCATCCAAGCGAGAATCATCAGAATTTGATTGTACGTTCACACTTGAGGTATTAAAACCGCACAATTGCCATTTTATCGATTCAGTGGAACAAATTCGTGCTTTGTTACACATTGTATTGACAGAAGTCCCCTGGTTGTCCTGACACAATTGCAGGCAAACTGCAGACCGTATGATGGATAGTTTTTGCCGTGTTCTAACCGATAAGAGTAACGAGTATGAATAAAATGGTCATCCCATTTCACAAGATAAACTTGTGCGCGCACAAGCCGTTGCACCTCGTCGCTTGAGTTATTCAGTCCGAAAGCTTCACGTTCAAAGAGGAACGGGACCGAAACGACGCTGTTGATAATGAAATCAGAGGTCACACACTCATGTGAAGTCTTGGGATGAAACTGAAGCTACAATCCTACACAACTATGGAAACCGCGAACCTTTTAGGAAGATTGAAACGCCTTGGGTATGGCGCCAAACCTGTCCACCAATAAGGTTGTTAGAAGAAAATCCAGCGACTGCAATGATAACGGGTGTAGCGGTGGATACTACTGATGGGGTATACGAGTAGTATATTTTATTGTAAATCCGCTTCGCTTCTATTGAAAAGTGAAATTTATTGAGGAATTTATGGAATAGCTTTGTAGCATTCGTTTACATTTGAGTGGTAGTCAATAAGTATCCAGGAAAGTTCAGGAAGACGTCTCCGAATAAAAGAAGGATACACAGTTTCATAAACAAGATGCGTGTGAGAGTTTCGCTTCCCTGTCCAATAGTCTGTAACTGTTCCGTTGAGGTTTTTCAGTTAATGACTTTGCACCGAAGGCCTTCTGACCTTTCCCAAAGTTTAGGGGACGAAAACAGGCTGAAGGGCAACTAAGAGTGAACTATCCCAGTTTGCATCAGACAGACTGTAGAGAGCTCCTTAAACTGTTCAGTGAGGAAATCCATTTTCGTTAATTACGTCCATGTATGGAAAAGTGAGGCGGACCGTAGAGGGTCTTCAAGACCCCTGGTGTTCGTGGGGACCTCGCAGCTATGAATTATGCAGACATCTTCGTAGCCACTCGTGGCTCAAAGCTCTGGCACTGGCGAATAAATCTACTGCCGCCGCACCATCTTCCGGTGCGTATCTTGCACCTCATAGAGTAGACTGAACAATTTAGGCGGAAGTAGTGAGGGTTGCGGGACCTTTTCAACATATATCAGTACTTTCATTATGTCCGACGAAGTCAGTGCACAAATTTTGTTTGCCATTCTGTCACTTGTTGTGTCAAGAAGTCATACAAATGGATCTAAAGGGTCCGCTTTACGAAGCTACTGTGTTGTTGTACGACTGCGAGACATGGCCTCCGCGGGTAGCCGAACTGAGGTGTTTCAGAATCATAGCCGGACATGTGAAGAGGCGACTGGAAAACTGTTTTCTGTCATACATCTGGTAATTCATTGGTGTAAAGTATGCGGTCCCACTGATCAAAGTGGCTTGACAGTATGCTGCATATCCCGAACCATTGTCAGAAGAGACGGGCGTTGTTTTCAGTGCCTCCTTCAGACAATGCACTGCATGACAGAAGAGCTTGAAAGAGAATACGTGGAGTATGGGTCTAAGCGTTTCATGATAGGATTCCCCTGACCCTTCCTGCGCTTGGCCGAAGACGCCACTAGTGTCAGTGGTATTCGTGGAGTATGGGAGCGTTTCATGATAGTATTCCCCTGACCCTTCCTGCGCTTGGCCGAAGACGCCACTAATGTCAGTGGTATTCGTAATGTCTATCTATCTTTCTAGATTGTCCCAACTGGACATTCGGAGATGTAGATACTTGAGAATGTTTGTGGCGAGCCACCACCAAGCTCTTTCTCTGTCTATTTTCTTCTTTCCTCATCTAACTGTTCTAAATACAACTAGCAGAAATTTGTGGTTGCACGGCAATGAAGCACTGGCATCGACGCTTATTTCGATGATAGCGACGGTAATGACGGAGTCTCTCGATATAGAGCTTCTTACCGTTTTCATAAACCTATTTTGTACTAATTAGATGCATGTAGTTTCAACAATCTCCGAAATCCGCCTAATTGGTGGTTTTGTTATTTAAATGTACTCTAAAGGAGCGGATACACGGATGATCTTTTGTGCTCCTTATTGGATGATGCCGTAGTACTTTAGTTATGTAAATCCAAGTAGTATATGCATTACAGAACAAAAAGGGGGTCTCGACTGTGAACCATCAGTCAATTTATCCAGCAACTGAGATATTAAAGTCCACAGAAATACGAGACATTTAGACCAGAATCTGCATGATCATCGTGCGAATTCTATTGGTAACAGTACTTGCAGTTACAGAAATCTTGAGAGGTTACAAGAGGGAACGATTCTGAAAATGGGAGATGCCCTCCTGGATTGCATCGGCTAGCTACAATCCTACACAACTATGGAAACCGCGAACGCCACAGCAAAAGCAACAGGAATCAGGAATTTCAACCTATCCGGCTTTTGAACTACATAGTTGCGGATTCTTTTTGAACATTGATTCTGTCCTCTGTAGGAGGCGCTGTTCAAGAGGCAAGACATGATCAGCGCCAAATTAAATGTGCAATGGATACGCTGTCAGAACCATACATCAAGTGTCCGGAGACAAAGCAAAGTAAGCAAACTCATTGGTGGGATCTGAAAGTTACGGATAGGCTCCGAAGGTACCGAGATCAGAGATCCATTGACAAAGACAACCTTACTACAGTTAGACTATTACCAGACTGCTTCATCAACAACCATAAACGTAGGAGATTAGGCGATAAAAAACAACGAAGGGTCCATTTAGGTATGCTTTGGCAGTGAAAATATGGGTACTACTTTCGAATATCCTTTTTATTCGGAAAAACCAGGGGGTGGGGGTTGACGCTTCTAAAGCAATTTTATAGCACGTTTCAACAGCTGTACGAGGACAGACCATAATGGCGTAAAAGCACACAAAAGACAGTGATGGTAAGGTTTTTTCAATGGGTCTACCTTCGTCCGGAAAGCAAGTCAACGACTGTGGTCACCCTGAATCCAGTCTGTAAAGCCAGCAATAGGAAAAATTAACTTGTCCAGTAACGCGACATAGTGAGAGGGGGTTAGTAAGGTGCATTTCACACCCTAACGGCATCACGTATGGTTTAGAAAATAAGGTAGTTTATGGTTTTCTAATCACGGTGAGTGCGGACCTGGAAAGATGTGCAAATTGGAGAAACGGCCCTTAGTAGGACCACTACCGTGGGCACAGGTAGCGAGGCACACAGACAAACAGTGTACCAAAGTTGACCAACGGATGCTTGACACCTTCGAGCAAGTTACACAAATTTGATGGGAAAAGCAGGATTCAGTTCTTTTGGCAAACAAGTAGGGGAAAGTCACGCCCCCCCCCACGCCCGCCTATCGCAAAACAACAGAAAATGTTGCAGAAATATCCTTGTTTACTCAGCATTAGAAACGGGTAGGTAAAACAAGCAGGACGAGCAGCAAAGTGAGTATT